TTGTTCACAATGAATTTTAAACACTGATGGCAAGCTAGAAACAAAAGTTAACACATAGCCTTTATGCTTTCCTGTGGTAGAGGTCACAGCCCAGATTTCAGACAAAGAAGAAAGCCAGTCAATGTTAATTTTGTTGCTGTTATTTATGCATTCTCCTTCCCACAACCAAATAGAATCATTATTTAACCCTTCAGGTTCCTAGGAAACACTGGTTGGTATTTCAGTGGATTCTCCAAGACTTCTATTTCCTACAGATTCACCATTTGAGATTTTTTTTTCATAAAATGTCAAATTCAGCAACATTTTCTGACTAGAGGGCCAAGTTTATCTCTAATGAAATTTGTCAGCCTTTATTTTCAGAGTTTAAGGTTCAGTCAAATGAAGATCAATAGAGAAACTTCATCTTGAGCATGTCCTGAATTATTACTATTTCTTATTTTGCTGAAAAAAAAGTTTCATGATATATATGAACACATGTATATGTGTACAGAGTCTGCATGGGGTACAGATGATTAACATATTCAGCTGCTAACCAAAAGCTTGGAGGTTTGAGTCCACCAGAGAGCCTCAGAAGAAAGGCCTGACAATATACTTCCAAAAAATTAGCCATTGAAAACCCTATGGAGTAGTTCTACTCTGACACACATTGTATTGCAAAGAGTCAGAATCAACTCAACAGCAACTGGTTAGTATACATAGTATACATGCACATACATACATTTACCCTGATTTGTTCTGTTTACTATGGTTATCATGAGGTGTGGTTTAAAAGAAAAAAAAATTCTGATTTTGGAGCTAATTGGACTTGAGTTTGAATCCTAATGATGCCAGTTTACATCTCTTTAAATCTCAAAAATATCCCATTTGGACAATAAACGCTTTTACTTTAAACAATATTTATAAAATTTCTAATATGGTTATTGGTCAGTAGTAGGTATTCAATAAAATATAGCTATTAATGAACAAATATAGATGCAACTCAGCTTCCTAAGAATCTTCTGGAAGATGCCACTCTGACTGTCATGAGAATTGTCATAGTTATTAGTAAAGAAAAAAGAAAAGAGAAAATGGAGGGATATTTATAAATCAACAAAATGTTAAAAATAGAAGGAATTCACTAGCCATTCCATGCAAGGAATGAAGAAAAGAGGCATTAATATCATTAATATCAAGGTAATCATTAAACCCAGATTCTATTCCTGTTTGCCTACCATTGAGAACTCTTCTTATTTATGCTTTTATTGGGGGGGTGATTTCCAAATTGCCCAGAAGAAATAAGTTTCTAGCCCATTAAATTTCTACAGTGTACCTTTCAAGAAAAGGAGGAATTCTGCTAAAAGAAAAGAACATAATTGCAAATAGCAACAATAATGGTCATAATTCATGCAGTGTCTCCTATGTGCTAAGCATTGTGCCTGGCATTTTACATACCTGGTCTCTAGCTTTACACAAGCAGTATAATTAGATGTATTTTATTGAAGAGGTAAATAAGTCTTAGAGAAAGTACATAGATTGTCCAGAGTCATACAGCTAGTTAAGTGATAGAGATACAAATTTAATCCAGATCAATTCAGGTCTCACTCACACATCACTCACTGCCTTCGAGTCTTTCCCGACTCATAGGGACCCCTCCTTGGGTTTCTGAGGTTGTAAATCTACAGAAGTAGATTGCCCAATCTTCTTTTCAGGAAGTGGCTGGTGAGTTTGGACCTCTAGCCTTTTGTGTTCAAAAAGGAGAGAGATCCTAGGATTCTTATACCCAAACCCCTGTTTTGCCCCAAAATTAGTGTTTTGAAAGTTCGGACAACTACCAAACACAACTAGGAAGGATTCTGTAAGACTCATAATATGAATTAACGTGTAAAGAATCATTCATGAATCACATCTACCTTCTCTGAGGAGTGATTAGAATCTAAGAGTCATCTTAGTGAAAAATGAGCAATGAGAATACAAGAAGCTGGGGGAGTGAGTGACTAAGAATCTGACAAAAGGAACTTGCTTCTCTAAGCAATACCCATGCCACCAGTACACACATCATGTTAGGTCTAAGGAAGAGCCAGGCCTTAGCCCATCAATGGCACCTGCTGAGTTGCAATTCACCTAACCTTTCATGTATCAGTGATCAATGTATCAGATGATCAATTTTTCCAAGACTTTTTTTTTTTTTGCCTCATTTTATTTTTCACTGGAAAAATTATTCTCAAATCTTAGAGAATATAAGAAACTGCTAGAAAAATACCTATCTTAAATAGCTAGACATTCGACAGATACAATTTGGACATCTGTCCAGCAGGAATCACCACAAATTCATCCCGTATGGCCTTCAAAACAGCTAGCCTCAAAAGAACTTATTTCTTTCATTATCAGCCTGTCCCCATCATGAGCTAAAAACCCAAAGGAAAATACATTAGAAGCTTTTTCCAGGAGTGTTATGCCCAGGCAAAATATAATCAATATCAGGATATTAAAATACAGCTAGTAACCTATGATAACATATTTTCCAACATTGTCTGTCTCCCTAGGGACTCCAGAATAAAGATATTTCCACTAAATGGTCATGAGATTTGGAGACAGAACTGGCTTAGAATCAGCGGTCTGTCATCATTAACTATATAAGTTTGGAAATTATTCAGTCTCTCTCAGCATTAATTGACTCATTTGCAAAATGAGAATGCAATGAATAGTTTTATAATTTGTTACAAAAATTAAGTGATATATAATCCGGTAATAATGGGTAATGAAGTATTTACCAAGTGTCAGGAACTGGATGAAATAAGTACCACTGGTAGATGAAGAACCTAAAGCATGAGAGATTAAATAACTTGCCAAAATTCACATAGTTGGAAAGTCACAGAAATAAGACGAATAAAGGCCATGCTCTTAGCCCACTATCCTATAATACCTAGGATGGAACTTCTGTACCGAGAAAAGATTAAATAAATGTGCACTGAACTTACTACTACTAACATCTCCATCGCCACATCAAATGAAGTAATATATAACATTAAATACACCAAAGAATTCACAATACCTGGGACAGGGCTGTAAAAGTTCTCCCTCGACAATGCAGGCCTCTTTCTCGAGAAGTTCAGGGCACTCTTTTCCATCTCCAATAGCCATGTGCTTTACATTCCGGCTCCTACTCCTAAAACCAGGAGAGAGACTCCCTGACCGACACGTCTCAGAGCAAGGACTCCAGGAGGACCACTCAGTGGTTTCACAGTCTTTCGGCATGATGCAGGATTGAACAGTCAAAGGGAAGGAGTCTTGCACACACAAGCTGAGAGAACAGAAGCAGAAAACAGAAGGTCATCAATTAAACAGATGCAACCAACAGTGCCTAGTATGAGAAAAAATACTGAAATCTACTTTAAGTTTCCAAACACACACACACACACAAATAGCTGTCATCAAGTCAAATCTGAATGACTCACAGAGACCTCACATGTTTCAGAGTAGACCTGTGCTCCATAGGGTTTTCAATGACTGATTTTTTTGAAAGTAAGATCATCAAGGCTTTCCTCTCAGGGCACCTCTGGATGGACTCAAACCACCAACTTTTTAGTTGGTAGCCAAGAACTTAACTGCTGTTTATAACACTCAGAGACTCCCAAACCTCCAAACAGGAGGATTTTTATAAATGTTTAAGACATCATGATAAAATATTGGAGGGCATAATATTTTAAGAATGTCAACTCTATTTCATCTGAAATGGTGAACCTGTTTCACCCTAGTAAGATAATCAAATGCACAGTAGGTCAAATGCACCTGGAACTTGGATCAGTGTGCTTTAACCTATGTTACAACCTATGTTCAACTTACCATGTATTGCTTGGGTCCCAGGTTCTACACATAGTGCAACACTTTACAGACACTTTCTCACAACAATGTTATGAGTTTGGATATTATTACATACATTTTGCAGAAGGGAAAACTCAAGTTCAAGGAACTTAAACGATTTATCCTAGTTCAAACCAGCCCTGTTGGAGCAGTGGTGAAGCATTCAGCTGCTAACTGAAAGGTCAGCAGGCCACACTGACCTTTCACACCACAGAAGAAAGACAAAGCTAGCAGTCTGCTTCCATGAAGATATACACCTTTGGAAACCCTGTGGGTCAGTTCTACTTTCTTCTAAAGGGTCCCTGTGAGTTGGATTTGACTTGACAGCAACAGATTTAGATTAATCCAAGGTAAAGGCAAGCTTTAGAGTGTTAATCTATTTGTTTTTAAAAACTGGGCTATTTAAAAAATGTGATACTGATTATGCTTCCCTACACTCTGAGGTATAAGATTGTTGAACATCAATTTCTCTATCTGCAAAACTGGGAACTATCAAGTACTAACAGTCTAACTGGGAAGCAGATAAATAAATAAAAAGGTAAGATACACGTTAATGTGATGAATTCAACATAAAAACATTTATAATGATGAGGAGAAGTACTAATGAGGCAGTGATGGACCATCTGGGAAAGCAAGGGAACTCAGAGAGAAGGATAGCTCAGCTGTATTTTTAAAGATTAATGGGAACTTCTCAGGCACACAGGGATAACTATCCTAAGACAAAAAAAAAAATTGTATTTTCAAAGCTTTGAAATAATACCTCATGGAATAGAACCAATGTCTTACTGAAATTGGCTTGTATGGGCTTAAAAAAACTGAGCATTAAATTATCAGAGATTTTGCAAGCCATTTGACTTCATGTTAGCAACTTAAAATTGGGCAAGGTGAGAGTATTTAAACTATTGAAATCAACAAACATTACTCAAATTCCTAACACAACCTTCCACTTATGCCAACTCCACCCACCTCCCATCCCCAAGCTGGCTGTTAAACATTTACAAACAAGTAGATAGATATTTGGTAGTGATTTCTTCAAAAGCAGTTCTGGAAAGTCTTTGTGTTACAAACTAAGAAGCTTAAATTTAATTGTGAACACCAAATGACCTTACGTGAATGAAAATCTGTTAGAATCACATAGGTAGATAACATTTCAAATACTAATTGGCACGCTTTTCTTTTTCATTTCCTTGCTGCTAGCCCTTCCCATAGGGCAATCTACTTCCATAGTGATACTGCCTCGGAAACCCAAGGAGGGGTCGCTATGAGTTGGGTCCAACTCCACGGCACATAACAACAACAACAACAGCCCTTCCCTTATTCAGTTGAAGGTGTCCATTACTTTGGGGAGAAAAAGGATCATTTCAACAGAAAAGTAAACCAAAAGGGTCAATGTTCAGTTACTGACTTCCAAATTGAGCCTACAAAGGCTGGTGGAATAATGAGTTATGGACAGAAATTGGTAATGGTTCATTTATGTGTAGTGAAAAAGAGGAAGAAAAGTTAAATAGTTTACTGGTTTCTCACTTGAAAAAAAAATATGTAAGGGAACAACCAACAGATAAATGAATTACAAAAGATGATGTTCAAGGGTGAAAAAAAATATGCACACATTTGGCCATAATGAGGAGTGACTTATGGTAAACTGTCCATATTGACATCCCCCATTAAGGTGATACTGACTGTTGCTTTCATAGAGAAAAAGGTAGCATGATACAAGACAAACCATTGGTCCAATATTTTATTTTTAAAAATCTATTTAGATCATATTAACTCCTTCCAAATGAAAAAGTCAATGCATATCTTATTACCATTACTCATTCAATATGTCATTGTAGGGCCTGGGATCTAAAACGCACCAGGAAGAGCATCTCAAAAATGCCCCCACACAATACAGAATGTATTATCACTGTCATTATGCAATGTGGAGGTGGGGTAAGGGATCATCTCCCTCTACTGTGAGACAGAACAGAAAGCTTGTAATTATTAAGAGCTTTCTAGATTTTGGCTTTTTGGAAATTTAATAAAATTCGACAACTTGTATAAGTTTTTAGAAAAACAGTTTCTATTTCCACAATGATTGTCTTCTTCTTTTATAGAGAAAGCTTTGCACTACTTAGTTCTCAGCCTATACTGTGAAGTAGTGATTTGGTTCTTTGGATTGAGCAGATTTCACTTTTTAGTGTTCACCCTTCCAGCACTGACTTTTGCTGCTGGACTAGTAGAAGGGAAAATAAGTCTTGAACAGTAAAAACACTTGCAAGGAGTTGCAGTGATTCATCAAGGCTTTCAGAGTTTTGACAAGGGCTCCTATCTGGTATATTGTGACAACAAATGGCATATGTGATGTTGACTACATATTTACTTATTATTAATGAATTTTCACTAACTTCCTCCCTTGTTGTTGTTGTTAGGTGCTGTCGAGTCATCACGGACTCATGGCGATCCTATGCACAGCAGAACAAAACATGGCCCAGTGCTGCAACAGCCCCATGATCCTTGCTATACCTGAGCCCATTGTTGTAGTCACTGTGTCAATCCATCTTGTTGAAGACCTTCCCTTTTTCATTGACCCCCCACTTTACCAAGCATGATATACTTCTCCAAGGAATGGTCCCTTCTTAAAACATGACCAAAGTAGGTGAGATGAACTCTGGCCATTCTCGCCTCCAAGGAGCATTCCAGCTGCACTTCTTCTTCCAGGACAGATTTGTTAGTTCTTTTAGCAGTCATGGTACTTTCAGTATTCTTCACCAACATCACAACTCAAAAGCATCGACTCTTCTTCGGTCTTCCTTATTCATTGTCCAGCTCTCACATGCATATAAGGTGATTAAAAATACCATGGTTGGGTTAGGTGCACCTAGTCTTCAAGGAGATATCTTTGCTCCTCAGCACTTGAAAGAGGTCTTCTGCAGCAGATTTGCCCAATGCCATACGTCTTCTGATATCTTGACTGCTACTTCCATTGGTGTTGATTGTAGAACCAAGTAATATGAAGTCCTTGACAACTTCAATCTTTTCTCCATTTATCATGATGCTGCTTATTGGTACAGTGTGAGGCTTTTCATTTTCTTTATATTGAGGTGTAATCCACACTGCAGAGTATAGTGTTTAATCTTCATCAGTAAGTGATTCAAGTCAACCTCATTCTCAGCAAGCAAAGTTGTCATCAGCATATCACAGGTTGTGAATGAATCTTCCTCCAATCCTGATGCCATGTTCTTCATACAGTCCAGCTTTTTGGATTATTTGCTTAGCATATAAATTGAATAAGTATGGTAAAAGGATACAACCTTGATGCACTCCCATCTTGATTTTAAACAATGCAATGTCCCCTTATTCTGTTCAAATGACAACTTCCTGGTCTATGCACAGGTTCCACATTAGTATAATTAAGTGTTCTGGAATTCCTATTTTTCTCAGTGCTATCCATAATTTGTTATGAACCACAACAATCAAATGCTTTTGCATAGTCAATAAAACACATGTAAACATCTCTCTGGTTGTTTACTGGTGACAGCCAAAGTAGACAGCTGGAACAAGTAGGGGGAGAGCCCCCAGGCTGGAAGCAGCAGCTAGGGCAGACAGCCAGAACAGGTAGGGGGAGAGCCACCAGGCAGGAAATGGCAGCCAGGCAGATGGCTGGAATGGATAGGGAGAAGGCCAAGAAGTGAGCAGAGTGGTTTGGAACATCTAAGGAAATAAACTTGTCTGTCAGTTTGTCATACAGTGGTGGCTTGTGTGTTGCTGTGTGGTCTGTGCCACTGGTGTTTCAAACACCAGCAGGGTTGCCCATGGTGGACAGGTTTTAGCACAGCTTCCAGACTCAGAAGAAGGAAGAGTTCATCCACTTCTCAAAGAATTGACCAATGAAAACTTTACAAGTAGCAGTGAAACACTTGCTCTCTTAGTTAAATAATAATAATTATTAATATTATTATTACACCAGGTCCAAGTCTAATTTGCTCAGTGAGACTGCACAAATGGTTGGAAATGTGAATTTACCATGGGGCGCCACAGAAGAGTGGCTTACCAATTTGCTTCCATAAAGTCTAAAGCAAAGAAAACACTATGGAGCAGTTCTACTCTGTAACACAGGGGTTGCCTTGAGTCAGCATTGACTTGATGGCAAAAAGTTTGGTGTTTTTTTGAGAGGAGCACTAGATTATGAAACAAAAGTATCTGAGTTCTAAATTTTGCATAACAATAAATTCATATGATCTTAATCTCTGGGATGTTCAGTTTCATTATCTGTAGAAGAAAAATAATAAATTGTTCTCTGCTCACTCCCTAGAGATCTCATAACCTTTAGAGTCAGTGAAATCAGTTTATAAACCTACAGCAAACAACAGGAATTATTGTTCACACACAAAAATGGCAATCAATTCTATCATAGAAGGTGATGTGCCTTTTTCATGAAATAAATATATACTGTTGACT